CCCACCACAGCAAGTTCCTCTCAAAGACACTGCAAGACCCAGCAATTTTAATTTTGGGCTGCATTTTATCTTTCTTAGAACAGCACAGGCCATGAAGGCTCCTATCAACACATCCATCCAGTTTAGGGGGGCACCACCCAGCAGCAGCAGGAGAGCCTTGAGAATGTTTTGGTTGCTCTCCCTGCACTAAGTTACTGCACTGACCACAAAGAAAGTGGATAAGTTTCTTCCTAAACAGCAGCTTCCAAGCAGAAAACTGGTAAAAAAAGTAAAAACAAACTACAAGTCTCTTCCTACATAAGTATTAAGTAAAAACAAACTACAAGTCTCTTCCTACATGAATATTAAGTAAAAACAAACTACAAGTCTCTTCCTACATGAATATTAAGTAAAAACAAACTACAAGTCTCTTCCTACATGAATATTACTTTCAGGCAGCCCAGAAAAGATTTCTAGAATCTGTGTGTGCTACAAAAAGAACCCAAATCTTACGTAATTAAAGGAACATAGGGAGGGGAAGGTAAAATTTAATGCTAATTTCAAAGTCAAGTAAGTGACACCCAGGATTGAATGCTATTAACCAAAATTGTGCAAATTAAAAGTGGATGTACTGAAAGCAGCAGAAAGCCTGCCCGCAACAAAATGAGAATTCTCTTACAAAAATACTTCTGTGGCCAAATGAAACACTGAGTTTAAGTAAGAAAGCAAGCACTTACACCTATCATGCTCTCCCCCTCTTCCTTCTCATCTAGGGAGTCTCATTTATCTCAAAGCAATCTAAAGAAAACACTTTGATTTTTAAAGTCAGAAAAGCTGCAGAAATTACAGCCCTGTCTGGCACGAACAATTAATATTTCTGAAATCAAAAGAAGATTCTCCAAGTTAGGGGAAGGGCAAAAACAGTCCTGAATAACTTACTTTGCATAGCCCAATTCCTGCCAAAACAGTTCTGTAAATCCCATGGTAGTTCAGATAATTTCCATTCTTAGAGCAAAAAAAAAAAAAAAAAAGCTAGATCGAACATTAGCAACATTAATTGTGTGATATGACCTGAATGATGCAAGAACAAGTAGTTAAGTGAACCACAGCATCTGCTGAATTTTTAATCACTAGTTGTTTTGCTGCAAGGCAGAAGAACACTGTATATTCCAAGCACTGCATGGAATGGCACATTAGGACAACAAGATTTTCACTGGCAGCAATTCTGCCTCCCTGCCACCCAAATGCCATCACTTTGCTGGGAGCTGCAGACAGAGCAGCTTCTAAAGCACGATTATTTTTTAATCACACTGAATAAAAAAGAACCAGCACTATTTTCTGCTCCCCAAGATACCAGTCAGCCATTTCTATTTATTTATTTTTTTTTAAGCTGACACTTTATTAACAGCCATTTATGTGTCCCTCTGTAGTTTATTTCTACTCTCCAAACAGCTTGAAGCAGTCATGGGGCTGCCCAGCAGCAAGTTGGTGCTAAAGAGGTGGCTGAAGCTGGGATGTGTAGGAAGGTGATCTATGTAAACATTCCTATTAGCCCTGTACTGCAACAGCAGGAGCAGCTGCAACATGTTGGGACACACCTGAGCTATAATTAATCCATCTCTCCCTGACACCCAAATTTGGACAGCCAGGTCATGGTACCACTGATGCTCATCCTGTACCTCCACCAGACAGCCCTGCTGGGATTTCTCTGTGTTTGATACCTAAAATAGTTAAATAAACCAACCACCATGGCTACAGTGGTAAATACAGCTCCACTTATGCTCTAGGCATAAAACTGCAACAGCAGGATTAGCAAGTGATACAGCAGATATTCCACAGATATTCCCTTCCACAACAAACACCAAAAAAAAAAGTTATTTGGGGAATAAGCACTAAATCCACAGCTACAATGTGAATTCCACACACAAATCCCACAATTACAGGCAAAATCTGAACTATGGACAATTAGCTGGTTTCATATTTTAGGGGTGAAAAAAGGATATTTGAAAAAAAAAAAAGGACAACACTCCTACATTAAAGAAAGACTGTCACACTGACTTTAATAGACTCTAAGTTTAATAAGTTAATAGAATCAAAACAGCTTAGAAAACAAGCCAGCAAAATATGGTACAAATAAAAATGGAGCAGCCACACATACCAAAGCAGCATTCCTGTGCCCTCCTTCCTGCAGAGCTTACAGAAGAGGATCTCTAACCCACAACTTTCACTAAACCAGAATTTCCTTCAAAAGCTCAAATCTATGGATTGGAACACCCAGTGATAAATCCAGTAACCAAATAATCCACATGAGACAAAAAAATCCCAGCAGACAAGGGCAAAAGAGATGCTTCCCAGGCTATGTTATCCTTCATTATAGGTTTGGGATCAGTCCTGTGTTTTCCTTATAGGCTCAACCATCAGATGCAAGAAAAGCTGCTCTCTTCTCTGAAACCTGGTATCAAACCTGCAACAGGAATATTGAAATATGCCCCAGCTGCTGGGAATACAGCAACCTCTGTGTGTGTGAGGATTATACCAAAATGCTGCTGAGGATTATACTGAAAAATGAAAATAACACATGGTGACGGAGGTGTTGACACCTGGAACCTCAGGGAGTGTCATTACCCAGGCAGGGTCGTGCATCCACTGCACAGCTCTCACCTTCACACCACCCAAACCCAACCTGGCCCCTCCACACCCCAAAACCACAGTCCTTCCTGGAGCTGCAGACCAGCCCGTGATAAACACCCACAGCACGAGCTTCAAGATGAGCTTCCAAATTTAAGAGACACAGAAAGATGTTTTATAAGCTCTAAGTCACTCAGCTGCAGCTCAGCACTTAACAAGCCACTCACAATTCTTCTCCAAATGGGGAGAAGATTTTTAAAGAGCATTTAGTGCAAGTGAAACATCCCCAGCTTTCTCCTCAGCCTCTGGTCGCTTTCCAATTAAATATGAAAGCGACAACTTAGTGCTACTGAGCATGCAGGATGATTTTAAGACAGTGGTATTAAATCAAATCCCACAACTTTTCACACCTATTAAATTGTTACTCTGTCATTGGGAGGGGAGATTTTGATAAGCACGATGCAATTAACAGACAGTGCCTTTGTTACCAGGCTGCTCGTGATGAAGCCCAGGCTCCTTGACATTCCATTTCTTCCCCTCAAAGGCTCTGTGCTACAGCAAATTTATGGGTTTCAGCATGTAAGAGGAGAATTGGGCAGGTTACCTTCAAAATCAGTCAATAAGGCCCTTTCACTCACTCAGGCTGGGGGAAGGCGGGTGCCTGCTGGAAATCAACACAAGGCGCTCCCTTCCCCCTCCCCTCAGGACCCAAAAATGCCGCGTTCAAAACACTCCCATCCCCTGCAGCAAGGGATTACCCATTTATTAAAAAGGAATCAAAACACTGTAAAAGGCTTCCAGTTAAGATTTCAAGAGAAAAAAAAAAAAACACAAAAACAAAAACATTAACACCGGTAGAACCAGAGTGACATTAGGAATTCTTCTGGGCACTGAAGAACAAGCAGCTCAAAAGCAAACAGGATGTCATTTGTCCCAATGATGCTGATCAAATGGCTCAAAAGGAGGACAGAATTAGATTCATTCTTTTTTTTTTTTACTCAGTCATTTTGCTGTCTCCACACCCAGAAGTAACAGCATTCACAACCTACAGGTATTTAGACTTTGGACTTTTAAGACAACTACCTACCTCCCTGCTAGTCTTTTAGGGGATTTTTTTTTTTTTTGCTCTTCTCTAGGGGTGACAGACAATTATAATGGCCAATTATGTAAAACCTTTCATCCGAGAAAACACGAAGCGCTACGCAAACACTCATTAAGACTCTCGGCTGGAGCCTGCGCCGCACGTTCTCCTGTTCCACAGCTCCCCTGGATATCTCCAGCCACCAAAGCTGGATGCGAGCGCTGTGGCACGGCCAGGACAGCGCCAGCAGGGCAGGGCCAGCCCTGGAGCGCTTACACGGCCTCGCAGGCGGCTCTTACAGCCCGCAACACGCTCCGGGCTGCCGGGATGAGCTTTGCAGCCCCATCCAAGCCGGTTATTTAAAACCGGAGCGGAGACACACGCGGCTGCTGGGCGTTGTGCAAAGCACCTCGCAGGACGAGCCTCAGACCCACTGGTCCGGCTGATCCAAGCAGATTTTTCCAACCGGGAGCCGCATGGCACAAGTCAATAATCTCGGTTTACTGAAGAAATTAAAAGCTACGCTTATTGTTTTCGAGTAAGGCCTTGGAGGAAGTAATTCCGAGAAGAAATCACTTCCACTGTAATTGGACTTTTAACCTTTCCTTAGGTTCTTACGCCATCCCCACGTGAAGGCGTCCTTCAAGAATTATCGCAATATCTAACAACCACTACAGCTTTTTTCGGATCACTGTTTATGTTTAGCGAGTTCACAACCCCTCCCTTCTGATCGATGGATGAACCAGGGGGGAAGCCGTGCAGAAAAAACACCACCAGGAAGTGACCGCAACTCAGGAGATCAAAATCTGGGGGGAAAACACGCGGTTTGGGGAGGGGGTTTGCTTTAAAAGAAGATCCGCGAAAAGACTGACCCGCAGAAAACAGGGGGGGGCTCGGTGCACCCGGCCACGCGTGGGACGGGCGCGTTACGCAACCGCGGGGAGCGGGGATGCTCCGAGCCCCGCACGGCGAGCGGGCAATGCGGGGGACACGGCACCGAGCCGGGCAGCGCTGCCCCAGCCGCCGGGCCGGAGAGCCGGGGAAGGAGCACCACAAAACCCCCGCGGAGGCCGGGAGCGGGGCGCGGACAGAATAAAGCGAGCGGATAAAATAAAGACGGGTAGAGCGCGGTGCCCTCGGCGCGGCCCCGTGCTGCGGGCGGCAGCGGCCCCTCGGCGGCCCCGCAGCCGCCATGGCCGGCGGAGCGCGGGCGCTGCGGGCGGGCCCCGCTCGCCGTTCACCGCCCACCTGCCCGCACCGCGCCGAACCCAGCGCCCACCCAGCCACCCGTGCCGCGCCCGCGGGAGCCTACCGGGAGCGGGGCCGGAGGACGGGCCGTGGCGGAGCCGCCAGGCTCGGCTCGGCTCGGCTCGGCCGGATCCCCCCTGCGCCCGGCGGCGGCGGGAGGAGCCGGGCGGCCGCGCCAATCCGGGGCGGAGCGGGGCGGGACGCGGAGCCGCCGGGGCGGGACGCGGAGCCGCCCCCGCGCCGCGCCAGGCACCGGCCGCCCCGCCGCGCCAGGCACCGGGGGCTCGGCTCGGGGCGCTTCCCGGCTCCTCGCCGGTGCCTGTTCGAGGCCAGCGGGTTCAAAGGCAGCTGCCGGGGCTGCTGACCCCCTGGTTCCCCGCTCTCCCCGGTGTGCCGGGCTCGCAGCTCACCGTTGGTTTAGCGACCAACGTGGCACTGGAAGCCACGGGGGTGCCAGTTCCCAGCCCACCGGTAACTTAGCAGTGAATTTAGTCTGGGCTGAAAATTAGGACGCCAAAAAGTCGTTCGAAAAAGCTCCTGGCTTTGAAAGCTACTGAAGTCCCGACTGCAGGGTCAGAATTATCACAGAATCAATTAGGTTGGAAATGAGCTCTGAGATCATCGAGTCCAACCCGTGACAGAACACCACCCTGTCAAGCAGATCATGGCACTGAGTGCCACGTCTAGTTTTTCCTTAAACACCTCCAGGGATGGTGACTCCACCATCTCCCTGGGCTGTCCATCCCAGGAGAGCTGCAGGGAGGCCACTGGGAGTGTCCCTCCGTTCTGGAACCCCACCAGCGTGGTGCCAGCCTTGCCAGCTTGCTTTGCCAAGGTTTCCTCCTCAGCACAATCACTAAATGCCCTTTGCTGTCATCTGTCCTTGGCAGAGGCAAACAAGAGCTGCTGTTCCTGCTGTAGATGTATCCACAGCAGTGGTTTGTCATGCAATGTCACCCCAGCCATCTTCTCTGTGCAGCGCTCTAGATGTCTCAGCCTGTAGAGAGAAAGAGAAGGGCACTGGGGAAATCCTCTGAAACCAAAGGTATTGACAACAAGTGAGAAACACAAAGAGAAGGCATTGGGAAAAGGGGAATTAAGTGGTGGCATCAGATGGTAGTGTGAACCTAAAAGGGTTTCTACAAGAAGGAGCTTCCCCTCACCTTAAAAGATTTAGGCAAATCGTTTCCAGTTAGATGATGGAAGCAGGCAGCAAACTGAAAAGGCCTGGTTCCTTTCCACCCCAGGGAACAGCAGGAAGCTGTTCAGAGGACATTTTGTTTGGATATCAGGAAAGGTTCTTCCCCCAGAGGGTGGTGGGGCACTGGGCAGGCTCCCCGGGGAATGGTCACAGCCCCGAGGCTGCCAGAGTTCCAGGAGGGTTTGGAGCTCTCAGGCCCAGGGTGGGATTGTTGGGGTGTCTGTGCAAGGCCAGGAGCTGGACTGGATGAACCTTGTAGGTGATTTTCCACTCAGAAAATTCCCTGACTCTATGATTCCCTGACCTGCTGGAGGGCAGCACTATTTACTCTCTGGTTCCACTACTGAGAGGAGATCCTGAGACTGCTCTCAAGCTAAAAAGCAGCCTAAGTGTGTCAGCACAGCATTGTGCCATGACAGCCCTGACCAGGGACAGAGCTAATCAGCCAGGATCACATTTACATGGTGCCTCAGATGGCTGAGATGAAGTCTCTGCAGCCCCTGTTGACTGTGAAATACAAATGGAGGGTGGGAGGGAAGACAGAGGTAAGATGAGTTGCTGAAGGTCAAATATTAGATGAGGACAGGACAGAAAACAGACCCTACTGTTCTCACCCCTCCAGTCCTTTCTCCTCTGAACTGTAACAAACCACAGAACAACAAGGGGATTTAGCTGCTGCTGACACAGTAGTTTCCTGTGTTCCAGGGGAAAATTCTGTCTTTTGGTATAGGACCAAATGCATATGGAAAAAAAACCCTTTTTACTAGCATAGCCCCACAGTTGGGTGACATGCAGTGAGATGCAAGATATCCCCAGGTGACTTAAAGGGGAATGAAATATGTGCCCTGTCATATTAGGAAAGGCCCCACAGAGATATGGCCCCAATCTTTTGTTGTAAATTGATAAAGACAGTGAACTGCCCTTTGCTGCTAAGTGACTTCTAATGATTAAACAACCTTTCTCCTCCCACCCCCTCGGGGCACTTAGTGATAATATAAGAAAAATTTTGCACATTGTTTAGCTTAAATGGCCATCTGGTCCTTCTGCATTTCAGTAGCCTTGAACATTAAAAAAAAAAAAAACAATAGATAAAGAAACCCGGTCCTATCTTATCAGAGACCTGGAGAAGTTTAACTCTGTCAGAGCAAAGAGGATTAACCAAGTCCTTACAGCTCTTGTATTGTTTCCATCTTGATTAGCAGTCATATTCCTCACAGCTTGTGTTGTACTCCCTAAACCAAGAGAAGGAACTGTCCCTTACTGGCTGTATTCATTTTAACCATGAAACACAACTCCAGCAGCTCCATCCAGCTTCCACTGGAGGTGTTCTGCCCCTGGGCAATGGAGACACAATGGCCAAAAAAAAAGATACAGCTTTTCTGCCAAAATAAAAAAAAAAAAAAAAAAAAAAGGAATTATTGTGCAAGTAGGGAAAAGGATGCTCTTTTCAGAGGAAAATGTAAAGGTCTTGGCCTAACTCAGCAACCTCCTAACCTCCTTCCTGCTGCTGAGACTTCATCTAATCCCACCCCACTAAGTGGTTTCTTCATCTGCTTTTGCTCAAGGGGATAAAAAACGCAATTTTCCCAAAGCAACCCACTGAAAGTCTCTAGAAACAAAAAAAAATTTGGTCTCAGCTTATGGCTGGTTTATGCTTGAATCCAGCATTTCTTCTGGGGTTAATTCCCACTCCCCTCTTTGCCTCTGGAAGAAACCCAAGGGTTGAGTCTGTTTGGAAAGAAGTGTGATATCCTTAAGAACACAGCCTTGGGCTTTGAAGAAAGAAGGCAGCTGAGGATGCTTTCACCTGCAGTGCTGGAGCAGGTTTGTGAGGGAACATTTGGTGTGAAATGCCCGTAAATAACAGAGGATGTGCAGATACGCTGAGATAAAACCACTCAGGCTGTGTTCCCGAGTGCACTTTGCATGCTGACATTGCTGATCTGCATTTTTGTGAAAGCTGGGAGCTTACAAATGTGCTACAACGTCCAGCTTTTGCGTATCAGCTGCCAGAGTGCAACAGAATCCCCAGAGTCAGGTACCTTGTCCTTCTATTTATAGTCCAGAGAGGGACACTTCCCAAGGGCGAGTGGAAACTCCCACCTGGGAGCAGAGAGCAGGAAACATCAAATGAGGGGTGCATTAGATCACTTTGTGCCATTGTGATATTTTCTGAAAAATCCTCTTTACCCAGGATTTTCTCCTGGGAAGCTGAGAAGCCTCAGCTTCTCCTGTGTTTGCTACTCTAAAATGTAGCCTGGAGATTGTTTATCCAAACATGTGAATTGTTTTAACTTCATGACCAATCACCATCCAACAGCTGTGTGTTGGATTTTGAAGAGTCAGTCAGGAATTTTTATTATTCATTCTTGTTAAGCCTTCTGTCTATGTCCTTCTCTATTATTTAGTATAGTAATAATATAATGCAATGCAATGCAATATAATGTAATGTAATGTAATATAATATAATATAATATAATATAATATAATATACTACAATACAATATAATACAATACAATATAATATAATATAATATAATATAATATAATATAATATAATATAACATAATAATAAATCAGTCTTCTAAGAGCATAGAGTCAAATTCTCATCTCTCACCTCACCCTGGAAACCCCAGCAAACTCAACAACTTTGCAGAGCCCTGCAGGTGTTTCCATCAGCTCAGGATCCCAGGCCCACGTTGGGGTTTGGGAATCTGTCAGAGCTCTTTGAAGAATTGGAGCAATAATAATTTCTGTTTAACACTGTGGGTGTCAAGGTTGTGTTTGATGTTATTTGTTGTCTCTGCTGATCTGGGTGGTGGAGAAACAGCCAGAAAAGGGAAGACACTCTCCAAGCTCATCCAGGTGAGAGTCCAACCATCTCTCTCTACCTTGGACCATGCCCTCCTCCCAGGAGGTGACAGGCTGAGGCACCGGGGGTGGCTTCCCCACATTCCTGGTGAAAATGGGCTGCAGAGCAAAATAAACCACACAGAACAGAGCAAGAGCCTTAACTGTGTTCCCTGTGCTCAAAGGACAGGAATTTCACTTCTGTTTTCAGCTCCTAGAATTTGTTCTGGTTTTTAAACTAGCAACCACTTCAGGTGAAAAGCCTGAGCAGAAGTGAGAAGAGCAGCCAGTGCATCATCATCAATTTGCTGTTCAATCCCTGATTGAGAGGTTATCAATTGAATTTGGCAACCTGTGCCCTCTGCAGTGTCTTATTTTGCCTACAGAGGGTTTTCTTTGACTCCAGGCAAGTGGCTGTGGGGCACAGCTTTATAACTCCATTTACCTGTACTTTCACCTAAACATGATCAGAAAATGTAATTATTTCAGGCCTAAATTTGAAGATTAATTTCTGTCCACACTCCATATTGCACTTGATTTGTGCAAGGGTGGGGAGAATCACCTTCACAAAGAGCAATATTCCATGTGAAGGAATGAAGAGCAGAAAGAGCAAGTTAGCAGATTGCCACACCACGATCTCCTCAGTACCAAATGTATGGGATAATGACAGTTCTATTGCCAAGAAATAAAGAAATTCAAATTGGTTCTCAAAGCTCTATGGCTAAAGTGGGATATTATCATAAAATCATCAGGTCTGTATGAGAACAAGGAGTTTAACCTTTCAGGCATGGCCAATATGTGCACAGGATAATGAGTTTAGAAATTCACATCCCTTGTTTATTTCTATGAAATGGTAATATGTTTATTTCTCTTAGCACAATAAAAATCAGTAGCAATCAGGAATTTGGCTGGAAAACACCGAATTTGAGTGATATTGCAACGCTTTAAAATCTTGGCATTACTCAAACACACTGAGGCCCTTGTGGTGACCTAAATACTGTCAGTGGAAGGTGTCTGGGCAGCACTTTAAGGAAACCCACTCTGGCTGTAACCTACCTGGCTCAGGTGACACCTGCAGAGGTGCACAGCAAACCCAGGGCAGGTGCTC